CAGAGAGTGATAAGGTCCCCCCTGAGCCTTCTCTTCTCCAGATTAAATGCCCCAGTTCCCTCAGACGTTCCTCACCAGACTTATTTCCAGACCCTTCACCAGCTTTGCTGCCCTTCTCAGGACCCGCTCCAGCACCTCGGTATCTCTTGTAGTGAGGAGCCCAGAACTGAACACGGTATTCCAGGTGCACCCTCACCAGTGCTGAGTACAGGGGGATGATCACTGCTCTGTCCCTTCTGGGTATGCTGTTTCTGATACACACCAGGATGCTGTTGGCCTTCTTGGCCACCTGGGCACATACTGGCTCATATTCAGCCAGCTACTGACCAACACACCCAGGTCCTGATCCACCAGGCAACTTTCCAGTCACTCTTCCCCAAGCCTGTAGCATTCCATGGGTTGTTGTGACCCAAGCACAGGACCTGGCACTTGGCTTTGTTGAACCTCATACAACTGGCCTGGGCCTATTGATCCAGGCTGTCATTTCTATTCAATACTTCCAAGCCAACAACAACAGTGTATAAAATTTCGCTGTTCCCATTGTGAATAAACACTGTTTCAAATTTCTGTCACCCACAAGTTCCTCTAACAGATATTCTGTGGGGTTTTTTTCTTTCTTTCAGATTACAAAAACCTTAATTATTCTATTAAAATATTAAGAGCCTAATGCTACTTAACAGTTCACCAGTATAAGCACCTTCAGAGCATGGCTCCTTGGCTTTGAGTCATCTTCACTATTTACCTTAAAGTTCAAACCCCTTAACAGGAACTACACTTGCTATGCTCAGAGTTGCAAATGAGCCATTCAGTAACAACTCACTGAAAATTCATTTACTAGTTCTTTCCTCATTGTTGAGGATATTCTCAGAGTTCTTAGAAACAAGATGTATTTGCAATATAGAAAACATGAAATTGGTCTAAAAATGCATCTCCACATGGAATACAGCGTGAAACAAAATAATAAGGGTTTAAAATAAAAAAAATAATTAAAAAAAAACAACAAAAGAACAACAAACAAAAAAACCCAAACAATCAACCAAACAAACCTCTGTATTAGGCAAAAGTGTTTTGAACAAATATTCTTACAAGCAGAACTTCACAACACTTAAAGGAATGTCACGGCAAGATAGGATTTGAGGAAAGTCAATGATTCTTAGAGAAAATAACACATTAATTGTAAAAAATTAGTGTTGCTTTATGACTGCCACTGTAATCTGTTTCAGAATATTAGAGATACCTTAATCAGTGTATCTAATGAACTCTAGTTCACAGGACTAATTCTCTAAAAGATACCATTGTCAAATTGTCAAGGCTTATTACTCCTTCATTTGTTGGTCTTCTGAACAGTCCTCCTTCTCACAATTCCATTTTAGAACCAAAGGAAAATGTGTGTTACACATTACGTGCAAGAAATGGTTGTGCAAGAGTAGGCAAAATACATATGCCCCATAGAGGCTGTCCATGTGAGGTATAAAACTAAAAAGCTCAAGTGTTTCATACATGAATGATTTCACAATCCTTTTTACAAGAGTAAAGATCTGATGCCTTAATATCATGTCCAAGCTCCAGGTTTTGTTAATTACGTCCTACCTACCTAAATGCCCCCTGTAGTTTCAATTAGACATGGTATTCTTCTTCACTTCCCGTCTTGATTATTGTGCACTGTTGCTAAGCGCTAGTTAACAGTTGCCACATTTACCCAAAGTTGGCTGCACTTCAGTGGTCATTCAAAGAATTAGATACAAAACATATGGTACAGAACCATACAAAGAATAAAAGCACTTTCAAAAACCACTCTAAAATGCTTAATATGAAAGATACTACAAAAGGTTATACTGCTGAAAGTAAAATCCTCACAAGGTTTTTGCCACTTGAAATTTCCTAGAAACACTGAAAACTGGGAAAGAAATACATTAAATCTTTTTCTTTTTTAAGCTGTCATTAATAAGATTTCCTAGAGTATATTTCTGACATCATACTGAGTCTACTTTTATAGTGAATGAACAGTCCAGTATTCATAATATGATAGGCTTCACAGTACACAGATTTTTCCATACTTCCCTTTAAAAAAAAAAAAAAATAGTTTAATTCCCTATGTCCCATAGCAACTAAAGTCTCCTAGATAACAACTACCAAGTTTTCTTTTTCCTTGTCTCCGCAAAATACTTTGGACATGACTTACTGAACCACCAAATATCAATGTCAATACTTATGTGTTTAAGAAGTCCTTGAACCAAATGTGCTTTTTTGAATTCTAGCCAAACTTTTCTCAGTCAGATCACCCCTCCTTTCCTCTGCCATGTCCTCATGGGATCTTAAGAAACTTCACATATTTTAATTATCCCAGTAAAAGCTCAGTAATCTATTTGCCTATTACTGCTTACTTCCTTTAGTATTACATCCTTACATGGGCTTAAAACTTCCTTACTAAAAAATCATCACTATTTCTGATTGAAATACATTACCTACAGCGAAACCCAACTGATAAAATTTCCTAGTACATACATATTGGGTTTTATAACTGAAGTCTTGTTCTGTTAAACACCTTAGCCAAAAATCTGTTTTGCACAAACCCACTACTAATAAACAAAAACATACACTGTATTTGTTATATGTATTAAGAGACACATAATTAAACCTTCAGGGTGTGGAGCCCAGCCCTTTAAACAGGTAGGCACATATGGAACATTATTCATTGACTTTCTGGAACATTTTGTTGGAAATACTTGACAACCCATAAGAACAAGTATGTGTACGTTCAAAATCTACAAGTTTTAAAATGAGGAATAAATAAACATTTTTCAACAGCTCTGGGAATCCTCATATAAGCCTTACTCCTTGGCAAAGAGGTATTTACGAAGTTAACTGACCAGCTCCATAAGTGCTTTTGTCCCACTCACAAGCAAATTCTACAGGGTAAGGTTTAATATTTTCAAATAAATCGTTTTTCTAATCCCATTAGTGCATATGTAATGAGCTTTTTCTTAAGAAGGCGTATTTCCTCAACAAAAACCAAACTTAAATGTGCCTTACAGTATTTGGAAGTGCAGAAAAGTTTAGCTGTCCTCTCAGAGATCACATATATAACTATCTGCAATTGAAATATGCACCTACTTGCTTCACTGTCAGATCTAAACAATAGTAATAACTGTAAAAAATATAATTAAAGTGCTTCAGTTATTCCTAGTCAGGGAATAAGACACAATACTTTCTTCAGCAGCAGCCTTTTATCTCAACCTTTAAAAAAGCCCTTTGTAACAAAGCATCAATGAAGCATGAAATATTATTTCAATAACATTTAAAACATCAGTCAGTGGGAAAGTTGTAAGAGTCACCAATTAAAAAAAAAAGCCAAATGGAACTACATAAAAAGGTCGTATCTTAAGGGTAGTTAAAGGAAACACACTGACAAGCACAAGACACGGGAAATACTTCTCTACCAGGCAACTTGAAGGTTGTCTCCTGCACTTCAAACACATCTGAGCATCGATAATTCTTAATTTCAGAATACGGATAAATATTTGCAGGCTTGAGGCCTAAACAAAGAGCAGACCCTGGCAGACCCAACCCCTGCATTGCCCAAAATCCCGGGGCTTAGCCAAAGTTTCCATCTTTCGGAGACTTCAGGAAGGCCACGGGCAGCGCTGGGGAGGGACGGGCCGGACCCCGGCGGTACTTCAACGGCTGCCGAGGGCGGCTGGCCGCCCCTTCACACACGGGCCAGCCGCCCGGAGAGCCGCCGGTAGGTCCGTCCAAGCCGGCTTATCCCCTCTGCCTTCACTTGCCAACATCAAACAAGACCTGTCGCCACGGTGAAGGAAAATCAGCGCGAGGCTGCCTGTCACAAGGACCGCGACGGCAGCCTGCCCTCGGTGCCTCACACCGCGACCGTTACTGCCCGTTGGGCTGCCGCGTCTCCAGGGGACACCATCGACAGGGAAACACACACACCCCTTTCCTCCATGTAAGAAGACCCTGCGCTCTGCCCTCCCCTCCTCAAACCCGGCCGGCACATGTGCAGCAGTGCCCCACAGGCACACGCACCCCCGCCCCGGGCCGCCGCCGCCGCCGTTCTCCCCGGAGGCGAAGCCACCCCCGGGGCGCGGAGGGCGAGGCAGCCGAGCCCCCTGCCGGCGGCCGCCCACATGGCAGCGCTGCGCAGGGAAGCTCGCTGCCCGCCCGCCCGCTCTCCAGCAGAGCCACCTGCACCCCCGCGATCACCCCCCGCTCCCCGGGACCCCGCTGCTTGCCGCCCGCCAGCGCACAGGGGCTGCTTTGCTTCCGTCACAGCGCGTTCGGGGCTCGGCCATGCCCGCCTTGCCCGTCGGCGAGGGGTCATTTACCACCCCACACGGCCCCCCCAGTCCAAAACGAAGGTAACAAAGGGCTTGGAGCCCTGTCGGGGGAGGGCATCAGCATCCCGCCGGTGACACCGGCCGCAGCCCCTCGCTACCGCCAGTGCTGTGCTGCCCTCCGCGGGGTGACTGACACCGAGCGCGACCCAGCGAGCGAGGAGCCGCTCCGCCCTGCACCGCCCCGGCCCCGCTACCTTTGTGCCCTCCCCAGGCACCGGCGAGAAGGCGAAGTAAAGCCCCGCGCCCCCCGCCGCTCCCTTACCTTGCTGGGTAGAGAGAGAGAAGTTGAAGCGCTCCCTTTCCACCCCTCCCTTGATCTTTTGCTTTTAAATTTAAACTGTTTATTGTATGCTTTTAATTGTATATTCCACCTCCCTCCCCTCGCACCGAGCAACTGCGCTCGGGAGTCCCGCCCGGCGCCCTCGGTGCCACCGTCTCCCTCCGGGCCTCCGTGTCTCTCTCTCTCCGGCGGGAGGAGGGGAGGGGACGCGAGGGGAGGAGAATGGGGCGGGCCCGCAGGTGCCGCCCCTCCTGCTCTGACAGCAGGGAAGGAGAGGGGTCGTGGGGCCAGCGGGTGGTGGTTAAGACGGAGCCGTGCTCAGGTGAAGGGTGTCCGGCACACCCCGAGCCGGCCCCGGCCCCGGCCCCGGTCCCAGCCCCGGTCCCAGCCCCAGAGCGGCGGGGCTGGAGCCGCGTCGTGTCATGGGAAGAGGTGGTGGGTTGTGAACGGTGTACGCGGGTTAGTGGAGGAGACCTCGGAGGGCAGTGGGGCTTGGGGCATGGCGGCGGATCTCTGTGAGGAGAGAGCGACCTGGGGTGCTTCCAGTCAGGGAGGGGAGGGATGAGGCCCTGCACGGTGTTGGAGCCATGGACGGAGCTGGGAAGCGTCAAAACCGTGTCAGAAGTCCAGGAGGCTGAAGATGGAAGGCTATCTGCACTGCTCTGCGAGAGGCGGTCCAGCACCGCGGGCGGGTCAGCACTGCGGGCAGGGTTTAAAGTTGAAGTGGTCACTTTATGTTTTGGGTTTACTTAGCAGCGGAGCTAGTCCAAGAGCAGTGAAGTAGAAGCTGAAAGGGCTTTGCGTGCTAGGAGGGTGCTGTGGCTGTACTTGCATTGGAGATTAAATTGAACAGGGATCAAGGCAAGGTGCGTAGAGATGAGGGCATTTGAGTCCAATGGAGGGGATGAAAACAGAAGGATCTGGAGCATTTAAAGCTGTAAATGGAGTCCTAGTCTGCATGGGGAAGTAGTGGGTTTGGATTCTTTGTGTATGTAAGATGAAGGTCAGACTTAACAGGAGCATGGGAAGGAGACTAGAAATACAGCAGGGCACCTGAGGGTAAATATCCCTTGAACTGGGGGAAAATGATTTTGCACTGTCTTCCTTTTACCTTTGATTGATTAAGCTACCATGTGAACCATCTCCTCTCCTTTTCAGTTTTTGCTTTTCAAAGAGTGTGTTTCTTCAGAGCCTATCAAAAAGCATTTTTCTTCTCTCAGGGCCATAGGGCTCAGTCTTATGTGATGTCTTATCTTTCTGCCTCAACAGCTGAGAAAAAAAAGTGATAGTGACAAAAAAGTGGTAGTGGTATCACCTACTGCTGTGTGACACTGAGAAAAAGAAGACGTCCAGTACTTTTCTGACATCCTTTGTATTTGCAGGTTGTAATATGAAGTTCCAGCATCCCAGTGAGCGTTCTCATTACAAGAGATAATGAGACTTTCCATCAAAAAGTGTGACAGAAAAAACTGTCCCTACCAACTTGTCACTTCTCTGTAGTAGTTCTGTACTTTTTAGCTCATGGCTGTAGCCATGAGCTCCAGAACATTCTTACGTATATTTTCATATCTAGTTGTTCTCAAAACCAAGGAACCTCCCAAATAAAGCTTTGCAAATGATTTGTTCATTGGCTACTTTGATCCTGAAATACATTTTTTTATGTGAATAACTAAATCTGTTGGTTTTGACAGGTCTATTCACATACTTTAATTGTGTAGAGCTGGGTTTCAGCTGTGGATTTACCTGCAGACATTGTCCTCCATTAGCTTATCTTGCTGTCTGTGCATTTAAAATGTTGCTAATAATATGATCCTTAACAGCAGATAGCTAAAAATTTAGCTGAAGCAGAACTTCAGAGACTTTGCTAAGTGAGACCAGGCTTTAGGATCAAGTCCTAAAGCTTTGCCACTTTGTCTGTTCAAAGTCATTCACTTAATTTTTCCAAAAACTTGGAAGTAGATAGCTGTAAAAGAGCTGCCACTCTAGTATGTCTGCTTGTACTCTGTGTATGTCAACTATGCTGTTGATACTTGGCAAAATAGAACTGAATTAAGCAATAACAGTGCAATAACAGTGTCAGTCCCTGCCATATGACCCCAGACAGATTTAGAGTGTGACTTTATTATTACTGTTAAAAGTTCATGAGCTATTTGAAAGCATATCAAGGCTCCTGTAGAATACCTGCTATAGCATATGATCATTCTAACCTAGATTACTTAATTATATCTAATTTGATCCCAGTAATTGCAGTCTAGATTTCCCTTCACATTTCAAACCGTTTCAATTTACTTAGTGGTATCTACTGAATAAGTGAGAATTATTCTGGTAGCTCTTTTCCTATTCAGACTTATTTTTTGTTTGCTTTTTTTAAAAGGAAGGAACATTCACTACGTGTTTTCTTTTAACTTTCTATTTTGACTATCAACATTTACAGCTTGAAGGGTGGTTTCATCTGTACCATCTGTGGGCCATATTGCACATCAGATGGCAGGATAAAATCTGTAACAAGAACATTTTAGGACATGAAACTCTTTCAGGGTTTGAAGCCATAATATTCACAACACAACTGTGTGGATGTGGAGCTGCTCATGTGTCTGAAACAGAAGATGCAGAATGCCAAAGCAGCTGCTGGTGTGAAATAAAGGAGAGACCACACAGTCTGGGGAACATACTGGCATCAAGAACAAAAGAATGTTTGAGGAAACAAGAAAGTGCAACTTCAAGAGGTGAGAAATTAGAGTCAGTCACTAGGAATTACTGACAGCAGACATGCAGTCACACAGCAATTAGAGGCTCGCCTTGGGAAGCAGGGCCAGTTAATACTGAGGTAAAGACACAGCATCAAAACAGCACCTGATTTAGCGAGCAGCATTTTCTGATCCCTCCCTAGGCAATAAAGGGGGAAATCGTCACTCATGGATTGGGTTTTGACCATTTTCATAGTCACAAGGCAAAATACCATTACCTATGTTATCTTCTATTCTGTGTAAGAGCACAGTTTGAGACTACAGTTTGCACAAAGATTGATGGCCCCCCAGTGGAACTACAGAGGCTGATGGGTACCCTTCACTCCTGAGCCTTCGCAATGAATTGATTTCCCCTACCTTGAAGTATCTCTTCATTTTCTTCATATATTCTTGTTTTGGGAGCAGTAACATCTTTTGGATATAGTGTTCTAAATACTGTAGATAGGAACTAACAGTTCCCCCTTTCATAGCCATTGGGGCAAACTTCCCCATAGATTTCAACCTTTCTTTTTCTGGAAGTGAAGGTTGTCAGTTCATCTTAGGTCGTTCTCTAAACTAGAGGTTGTATTTATGTCATGCATATTACATTTAAATATACATTTAAATAACTTGATGTATCCAACCTCAGAAATAATATTTAAAAAAACATAAATAGTCACACAAGGGAACTCTCTGCTTTAATTTCTTGTTATTCATGAACTATCAACTTCATACATACTGAACACAGATTTAGTCTATCTTTATTTACAGACAGTGAAAACAACTTGGCAGCTCCAGCAGGCAGTTTCATCCCATTCTCACATGAAAACCTCCAAAAGGCAAACCCTCTCCCCATATTCTTCTCATTGACTTTTGAAGGAGTTTAGAGACCTAGATTAAACCACACACCTATGCACCACCACTACTGGATGAATGCAGTCCCTCTCCTTGTGATCACCCAATCAGTTACCACAGGGATATAAAAAGATTCCACCCACTCTTCCCCATTTGACATGTTCAACAGAACCACTCACTTAACATGTACACTCACATTGTACATCCCCCGTCTTGTTAGTCATACACAGGAAAAAGACCAGTGGCAATTTCATATAAGCAACTAAATTTAGAGCCTTCAAAGGTGGGCTTTTCTTCATGGCACTGACACAGTTTGTTGAGTGAAACTCAATTGTAGAAGTTCTTAAAACCCAAAATTGCAGCGTTTCCTGTAGCTGTTACCAGTAAAAGTAGTGAATTTCATCAAAGTCACTGCTGGTTGATGTTTGCTGGGATACTTATTCTGAACCCAGCTGGGTTGAGATGCTGCTCATGAGCTAAAAAGAATGTTAACAACAGCAGAGAAAATGGTCCTGAATCTATATGGCAGTCAAGCCACGAAAACTGGGCATTTTAAAGGTGAAAACCAGACATCTTACAATTACAGCACTCAGTGTTTGTGGTGCAAGGCATTTTTATAATTTTTTATATTGCTTCACATATTTCACTATTTAGAGTTTATGGAGGTTTATCTACACAGAGTGTCAAACTTTCGTCTTGGTTTGTGACTTTCTTTTGATTGTTTGTTTTTTTGTCTTCACAAAGTCAGAGATGCATTCGAGCTTTTGGTGTTTTTATAAATGGAAAACATTTTTGAGCTGAGGTGGATAAGACTGCACAAGCCCTAACTTGGTTTTGTCACGGTTCCCTTTCCACAGACAAAATTCCTACTTAAAGCAGGTTACAGTAAATTCCCCAGGCTTGTGTAGCTGCCAGAACTAACAGTCATTCCCCTCCCAGTTTTCCTGCCAGGTCCATACACATCATGGTAAGCCTGACTTTGTGCTAATGAAGAGCTTGGCTGCTAAGTGAAGTTAGTCCAGCATTCACTACATCTTAACAGGCCCAAGTGCTGTCAACAGCAGATCTCTTAGTCTTGTGGAGGCAAATCTCTGAGCTTACAGAGCTACCTACTCCCACATTTATAAATTTCCCATCTTCTCCAAAAGATTTATGGTGGTATGTGGATGTAGAGACAGCTTGGCTCTGTTCTCTTAAAGCACAGAGGAAGAAGTAGGTATGTGCTGTGGGGTGTGACCTGCCAGCTGGCTTTTCCACAGTGAAGGTTTCCCACAGAGCCTCTGAAACATGTCTAATAGCCACCACACCTCTCTTGGGCAGCTTCTAGGGTCTTGGTATTGAGCTGTCTTAACCTGCACTCTGCAGGTGTGCAGACACAGAGTATTTTAGCTACTTGTCTCGTAGCTGTTTTCTTGTTTCTCAAAGAAAGAAAGAAAAAACCCCAAACAAACCCAAAACAAAAACCCCCAGTTAAATGTAGCACTATCTATATGCCTACAAACCTTGCAAAAGCTTGCACAGCTACAGGTTGGGCAAAGAAGAGACTCAGAGCAGCCCTGCAGAGAAGGACTTGCGGGTGTTGGTTGATGAGAAACTGAACATGAGCAGGCAGTGTGTGCTTGCAGCCTAGAAAGCCAACCGTATCCTGGGCTGCATCAAAAGGAGCATGACCAGCAGGTTGAAGGAGGTGATCCTGCCCCTCTACTCTGCTCTTGTGAGACCTCACCTGGAGTATTGTGTGCAGTTCTGGTGTCCTCAACATAAAAAGGACATGGAACTGTTGGAACAAGTCCAGAGGAGGGACACGAGGATGATCAGGGGACTGGAGCACCTCCGGTATGAAGATAGGCTGAGAAAGTTGGGGCTGTTCAGCCTGGAGAAGAGAAGGCTGCGTGGAGACCTCATAGCAGCCTTCCAGTATCTGAAGGGGGCCTACAAGAATCCTGGGAGGGACTCTTCATTAGGGACTGTAGTGATAGGACAAGGGGTAACAGGTTAAAACTTAAACAGGGGAAGTTTAGATTGGATATAAGGAGGAAATTCTTTCCTGTGAGGGTGGTGAGGCACTGGAATAGGCTGCCCAGGGAGGTTGTGAATGCTCCATCCCTGGCAGTGTTCAAGACCAGGTTGGGCAAGGCCTTGGGTGATATGCGTCACTTCACCTTGGAACCCACAATAGCCAGTATGTATATCCCCTAGTCCACACTTGGACAGGGTTGGATGCTCATGGCTCCAGCATGATGTTTCAGGTCATGTTTTATTTACATATTGAGCTTTTTGTACAG